AAAATATATATTAAACTATATTTTTTATATAATAATTTTATTATTAACATTAATATTTTATTTTTTATTAAAAAATTAATACTTTTTTTTATGTTCGTAGGCAAATTTACCTGCGTTAAAGATAAAGAGATAGCCAATTGATATATATCAAAATTCGACCTATCTTATTTATAACTGATTGATATCTGATTAGAATGATTATATTGTTCCTTAGGTATGATAGGTATTATCATTTCTTAAAAAAAATGATATTATTGTATTTAAGGTATAATAGTTTTATCATTCTTAAGAAATGATGCACTTATTGTATCTTAGGTATGACAATTTTATCATTTATTAGGGATGATTGTTTTATCATTCCTTAAGAACAATGGTATTATTATACCTAAGGAATGATTTTTTTATCGTACCTAAGGAATGATGGTATTATTGTTTCTTAAGTATGACAATTTTATTGTATTTAAGAAATGATGGTATTATCATTCCTTAAGGACAATAGTTTTATCATACCTAAGGAATAATGTATTATTATTTTTTAGAAATGACAATTTTATCATTTCTTAGATATGACGATTTTATCATTCTTAAGAAATGATGGTATTATCATACTTATAGTGACTTTTATAATTATTGCACTGCTTCATTTTTAATTTTAGATCATGATACCTGAATAATTATATAACTATAAGGCTAAAATTTTAAACAATTTAAAGCCTATAATTGGATTTTTAATATATTTAAATTTGAGTATTACTTAATTTATGACTTTTAAAAAATTTTTTATATACAATTTTTTCATAATACAATACTTTTGGAATCAAAATTAATATAATAAAGTTATAATCATGTGACATATCTTATACATATAAGTAAATTTATATTAGTAGATTAATTTGTATGTCTTTCTTTTATTTTTTTTTAAAATATATTATGAAGGTGATTTCACTTCACCAAAGGGAACATATTTTTTCCCTTATCTAAGAAGGTTTACTAAGTCATACAATTACTTTTCACGAAAATATAAGTCATACTTCTGTAATAAGAATTAAATAAAGAAAAGAAAAAACAGACAACTTTGATGTTATTCTAAAATCAGGCCTAAGAATACTTACAGAATATTATGATAGGAATATTATCAGGCTTATTAAGTCAAATGAATATACAAATACTATTCAAATTCAAAAATCTTTAATTTTCAACGAAAATATTGTTATTTTACCAAATACTATTCAATGCTCATTGAAAAGGCAAAGTCTTATAGCTAGAGTTAAAAAAAAACTATTGCTGCTAAAGAGACATAGAAAAGTATGAAAAAAATTTGCTCAAAAATATAAGAATTAGACTATAGAAGTTTGGTGAAAAGTAGTGTAATCAGATGAGAGTAAATTCTTAATTTTTAGTTCAGATAGGTAAGAGTAGTGTTAGAAAGATCTAAATTTAATTTTACAACCACAGCATATTAAACTAACTGTAAAGTTTGGTGAAGGTTCTGTAATGATATGGGCTATATGAGTTCGTTTGGCATTAGAAAGTATTGTAAAATTGATGAAAGAATGAATGGAGAGTTATATAGAGAAATTTTAGGAGATAAGTTTTTAGGGACCCTTAGCATATGTAATTTGAATGTAAATAATATCATTTTCTAATGGGATAATGATTCAAAACATACAGCAAAGAAAATATATAAATGGTTTGATAACAATAATATTAAAATTTTAGATTGGCTAGCATAATCACTGGACTTAAATCCCATTAAACATTTGTAGAATGAAATTGATCATCATTTGTGATAGCTTTCTGATAATATTACTAGTGCAAAAGATTTGTGAAATAAAATACAATTAGTATAGAATCAAATTGATGCTGAATTTTGTTTAAAGTTAATTGATACTATGTCACAATGAGTTAAAGATGTACTTAAGGCTAATAGGGAATATACAAGATGGTGATAGTTTTGTTAAAAAAATTAGAGCATAGTTTGTTAAAAAAAAATTTGAAAAATTTATGTTTTTGATTTTATTTTTATATGCGCTAAAAGTATTGTATAATAAAATTTATGATTATGAAAGAATTTTTTTTAAAATTATAAATAAAAAGAAATTTGAATTTGAATATATTATAAAGAAAACTCAGATGATATATTAATTAAATCTGCAAATCGTTCAATCATCAATTTTTATTTATTACAATCTAAAAATTATAAATGAAGTGATATAATAATTATGAAAGTCATTGTAAGGAACAATGGTTTTATCATTCTTAAGGAGTGATTGTTTTATCATTTCTTAGAGATGATAGTATTATCATACTTAAGGAATAATAGTTTTATCATTCCTAAGGTATGATGCATTTATCATTCCTAAGGAATGATTGTTTTATCATACTTAAGAAATGATGGTATTATCATTCCTTAGGTATGACGATTTTATCATTTCTAAGATATGATAGTATTATCATTCTTTAGGAATAATGATTTTATTATTCCTAAGAAATGATAGTTTTATAATTCCTAAGAAATGATGGTTTTATTGTTCTTAAGGAATGATAGTTTTATTATTCCTTAGAAAATGATAGTTTATTATTTCTTAAGGAATGATAGTTTTATCGTTCTTTAAGAAATGATAGTTTATCATTCCTTAAGAAATAATGGTATTATTATTTCTTATGGATGATAGTATTATCATTCCTAAGAAATGATTTTTTTATCATTTTTTAGGGATGATGGTATTATCGTTCCAATAAACTAAACTTTCAGATTAAACTGATTTGCTAAAATAATATTGATTTAATATACTATTTGAGTTTATTTTTGATATATAGGAATATTTGTATAAATAAGCTTAATTTTTTAACTTTTTAAAAAATAATTTCAATCATTTTCAAATTTTCTCTTTTTACATTTCACCAAAATCCCAAAAAAAAATCATCCTAAGAACAAAAAGACCTTAAGTTGAATTTTAGTCAATTTTCGCCTTTAACTATCAAAATCAAATGAAGAAAAAGCTGTATTTTAGTCAACTATTCAAAAATAAACTGATTATTTTATTTTTTATAATAGAAATATGCCTCTAACCATCAAAATTGGATGAAACTTAAGTTGAATTTTAGTTAATTTTTCTGATTTTTTTACTTTTTATAATAGAAACATACCTTCAACTATCAAATCGAATGAAAATTAAGTTGAATTTTAGTCAATTTTTCTGATTTTTTTACTTTTTATAATAGAAACATGCCTTTATCCATCAAAATTAGACGAACTTAAGTTAAATTTTTGTGATTTTTTTTACTTTTTATAATAGAAATATACCTCTAACTATTAAATCAGACGAAAATTAATTTTAGTCAATTTTTCTGAATTTTTTTACTTTTTATAATAAAAACATGCCTTTAACCATCAAAATCAGATGAAACTTAAGTTGAATTTTTCTGATTTTTTTTATTTATTATATGATGCATGCAATCTAAAGCTATCACTTTTTATTATATGATTTTGAATTAATAGAAAAAAAAATTAATTAATATATTTTTAAATTATTTTCTGTAAAATTGTAATTTAAATAATATTCTTTCATATAACAGCGAATTTTTTTAAGTCACATTACTATAGCATAAGTTATATAAGTTTAAATTTTAGTAACTTCATTAAGTCTGATATAAAATTGGCCAGTTCTAAAATTACAAATTAGCCAAAATTAAAGAATTTTAATCAATCACATTTTAATTTAGTGTGAGAATATTTATCAAATTTGTGTATTTATTTGTAACAATTTACAATTATAAGCATTTAAAGATTATCATCATCTTTTTTTTAAATTAATTAAAAATGCCACCAAAGAAACGAAAGGCTTAACTTGCAGTAGCTCAAAATATTAAAGCAAAAAATGCAATTAATGAAACATGGTTAACATTTATAAACAGTGATGATAATAATGAATTATTAGATTATCATGATTCTGATGATAATTGGCATGATAATAAACTTGAAGATAGTTCGAACCAAATTTTACAAACAGTTTTTGATGTTATGATTGAAAATGCAAAAGACCCATCAGCATTTACAAATAATCGCTCATTAGTTTATATTAGAAATTCAGAAAGAACACAAAGATGCAAAAATTCTGCTAATAAAATTGCAGCAGCTAGGATTTCCAAACTTGATACCTTTTTTCTACATTTTAATTATATCAACAAATATCGCATTAATCTACAAAAAAACTTATGGATAAATTAAAACAACTTGAAAAAAAATCAAGAATAAGAAGGTTTTGAATTAGTATTAGAGGATATAAAAAGACTAATTACTGATAAATATTAGAATTGCAAGTTAAAAACAGATTACAACTTATAATGCAATATATTAACTTACAATTAAAAGGTTTAAAAGTATGAATGCAAATAAAAATCTTACGATTAGCATTAGAAAAGGAGATTATTAAGCCTGGCTTATTAGATCATAGACTAAAAATTTTATCGTTCATCATCAAATTCCAATATCAATGCGTGGAAAGTATCAAAAAATAAAAAGTTTATTAGGTGATGAAGATATTTATCAAATGATTACAGAATATCTTTGGTGTGTTGGTTGTAATGTGACAGTAGGCAGATTTAAAATTTACATTAAACAAGAAATATTCTCAAGTATGGGAATAAAAAGAAAAAAACAATTTCAGAAAATACAGCTCGTGTTTGGTTAAAATATTTTGGATAGGAATTTCGTGTTGAGAAAAAAGATGTTTATTATGATAGTCATGAAAAACCTGATGTAATTGAATACAGAAAATATTTTTTAAATCAAATTTTTGAAATGGAAAAGTGGTTGCTAAAGCCATTAAATGATGATATAAAAGTTTTAGAAGAATCTATTTAAATGTAAATGAAAAATTACATATATTAATTACACATGACAAATCTATATTTTATGCTAATGATGGAAAAAACTTTTTGGGACCCATTGGACATCAACCACTTCAGAAAAAGGAGTTAGACTTAGTTTGCATGTTAGTGATTTTCTTACAGAAGTAGATGGACGTCTAAAAACTAAAGAAAAAGAAGCATGTGTTATAATGAAACCAGGAATAAATCATGATGGATGGTGAAAATCAGATGATTTAATTAAACAAGTATGAATAATATTATTTATTTTTTATTTTTAAAACTTTTTATTAATTACCTTTAATATTAGATAACTGAAAAAGCAATTCCAATATTTGAGAAATTACATCTTAATAATATTGGTGTATTTGCATTTGATAATGCAACAAGTCATACAACATATGTTGAAGATGCACTTATTGCTATACGAATAAATCTTAAACCTGGTGGTAAAGGGAAGTTTAGAAATAGATCAATGCCTGATGGATCAGTTCAGTCAATGCATCTTTCAAATGGACAGCCAAAAGACATTAAGTTGATTTTGGAAGAACGAGAGTTGTAACCTTAATATTAATTGAAACGTATTTGTGATAATTATAAAAAACACTCGCCTGTTTTAGAAAATTGTTATGCAATTCATGTGCTTTCACTTCAGCCAGATTTTTTAACACAAAAGCCACCAATTAAGAAGATTATTGAAAGTTTAAGTCATAAGGTGATATTCTATCCAAAGTTCCATTGTGAACTCAATTTTATTAAGATATTTTAGATGCTGCCAAACAATATGCTCGTAATAATTGTGATTATTCATTTAAGTTATTAAAAAGAACAGTTCCAGAAGCTTTAAATTCTGTTTCCTTAAAACAAATTAGACGATATGCTTGGCATTCTTGAAGGTTTATAAATGCATATAGAAAAGGTTTAATGGGTATTGCAGCTTTATATGCTATAAAATAATATAAATCATATCAGAGAATTCCCGATACGATAAATTTTTAATAATAAAAACTATTGGTCTATCAAATTCGCAATCACATAATATAAAGTATTGACCAATAAAATTTCTTCACGTGATTTTATCAAAATTTGACCATAAAATAGAAAAATAGCAGCTTTAGACTACATGTACCATAATAGAAACATGCTTCTAACTATCAAATCAAATGAAAATTAAGTTGAATTTTAATAATTTTTCTGATTTTTTTTACTTTTTATAATAGAAATATACCTCTAACTATCAAAATCAGATGAAACTTAGTTGAATTTTTGTGATTTTATTTGCTTTTTACAATAGAAATATGCCTCTAACCATCAAAATTAGATGAAACTTAAGTTGAATTTTTTTGATTTTTTTTTACTTTTTATAATAGAAACATGCCTTTAACCATTAAAATCAAACGAAACTTAAGTTGAATTTTTGTGATATTTTTTATTTTTTATAATAGAATTATGCCTCTAACCATCAAAACCAGATGAAACTTAAGTCAATTTTTCTGATTTTTTTACTATTTATAATAGAAATATATCTCTAACTATCAAATTAGATGAAAATTAAGTTGAATTTTAGTCAATTTTTCTGATTTTTTACTTTTTATAATAGAAATATTTTTCAACTATCAAATTAGATGAAATTTAAGTTAAATTTTAGTCAATTTTTCTGATTTTATTTTGCTTTTTATAATAGAAATATGCCTCTAACCATCAAATCAGACTAAAATTAAATTGAATTTTAGTCAATTTTTCTGATTTTTTTGCTTTTTATAATAGAAACATGCCTTCTACCATCAAAATCAAATGAAACTTAAGTTGAATTTTAGTCAATTTTTCTGATTTTTTTTGCTTTTTATAATAGAAACATGTCTTCAACTATCAAAATTGGACAAAACTTAAGTTGAATTTTTGTGATTTTTCTGAATTTTTATTTTTTTTTTCAAAATGGCAATATTACTATAATGAATATTTAGGAATATTTAAGAGAATTTTAGGAGAAAAATGAATTATATTTTTATTATTTTACAAGGTTTTTCCATTTTTTACTTATATTTTTTAGATAGAAAATTAATCAGTGGATTTTGATAATATTTTTGTTATGTTTTTGCAAATTATATTAGGTTTTTATTATTAATAAAATTATAATATAATATATCGATTTTTATGCTTATTTGACTGAATTGATCCCAAATTGAGGCCAATTTTAGGCTGATTTATGGTTATTTAAATTCTGAATTGATGCTGAATAATACTAAATTGAGGTCAATTTTAGGCCGATTTATGTTATTTAAGTTCTGAATTAATGCCAAATGATGATGAATTAAGGTTAATTTTAAGCTGATTTATGATTGAATTTAAGTTCTGAATGGCTATGTCTGATTGGAATCAATCAGCATCTATCAGCGTCTGAATTATTGCCAAATTAAGGCTAATTTTAGGCTGATTTATAATTAAACTTAAGTTCTGAATTGATGCTGAATGGCCATGTCTGATTAGGATTGATCAGCGTCTATTGGCATTTGTTTGTGCTGATCAGAAAACATGGCAAATCAGCTATAAATAGTATCAAAATAGCTTAAAATCAGCCATCTAATTTTTAGTTGATTTGAACTATTTCAACCAGTATTTTAAATAAATTACCTAAAGATAAGATAATTTTTTAATAATAATATAAAACAGTTGTATAGCAGCTTATTAAAATAGAATAGTTTAAGAAACTATTTACAGAAAAAGTTCGCAAATGTAATGATTGTTTATCTGAAATTAAAATAATATTTTTTTATGTTCTAATTTTTAAATGTTTGCATGTATCAATTATATTGCCATAGAATTTATTTATTATTCAAATTCCAAAATAAAGTATTTTGAATTAAACAAATTCAAAATTTGCAAATATGCTTCTATCTAATATTATTATATATTTACCAAGTTGCATGAATTCTTTTGAAAGCTACACATTTGTGATTAAATTTTCTGAAATATGCTCGTTAAATGTATGTTATTAAAGTTTCTAACAAGTCTTTTTGAGATTAAGCTCAGATATTTTATCATTATAATAAGGTTTCTGACACCCTAAGGTTTTGACAGATGTCAAAATTTGTAGTTATAATGTTTTAAATTTTTTAAAGGCAAAATCGCAAAGGTAAGCAAAAGTTTCAAACGTTCTGTTGTAAATATATTTAATACATGATATCAAAACTTTTATATTAAATTATTAATTAGCTTCAAAATAAAATATCCTAAGGATATCTCATTATATAGTATCCAAATCTTTGTTTAGGTCTGAAACATTAGCTTTTTAAAAACCATTTCAACGAATTTTAAAGAATTTTGACAGTTTTCGACAATTTTCAATAGTTTCAATGATTAGATAGTTTCAATTTAAGAGTACACCTACAACCTTAATTAATAAATAGGTTGGTAATAAGCACAGCACATTAGAATATTAATAGATGATCGATTTAGTTTAAGGGAAGACTTTCAGGTAGTCAAATTTTCATCGACTATGATTATTAGAATATATGTATAAATTTTACTAGAATTCTTAACAAGTCATTATGATTAAGTTCAATTAGGTATATTTTGTCCACATTGTTGCAGAACAGCAAGTACTTAAATTTTGCCATTTACGGTAAATAAGGAAGACTTAAGTAAATTGAGGAAAGCAATTTCAATATAGTAAACTACACAGAAAAATTTTTTGCGGATTCAGATATATTTATAAAAATGCATGCACTACATGATATTATATTATAATAATACAATAGCAAATTTCCACAGACAAGCGTAATAATTGAACAATTAATAGGTTTTTTTTTGAATAAAATGATATATATTTTGTAGTTCGGCTTGGGAATCATGTACCTTGTAATTATGATTAGAGGTTGGAACTGGTTCTATTCTGAAAATAGTTTTAAATATTTGACCTAGTTTAAATCGGTTACAATCGATAACTGGGTCAATTCGAGTTCTCAGCCTGAATCGAAACCGTTTAAATGACCAGGTTGAATTATAATTACTTTATGATTTTAAGCATATCGATGATCCTCATCGTCATTCAAAATCCCAAATAATTTTCTTTATATTAAGCTTATCACGCAAAGATTAATAGTTTTATTTGTTTCTGCAAAAATTCGTTTCACAAATTTTGCAATAAGTAATGTTGGGATTTACTTTTTCGATTTGAAAGAAAAATGCTGCATAACTGCGGTTAGTTCTAATTAAGGATGAAAAAATTTCTATTCTTCATTACTTTTTATGCTTGTAATTTCGGTAGTTGTAAGTTCTGTAATAGTTTCTGTATCAGAAAGTATCACAGAATAAAACTGATCTAGCTTAAAAAAAATATCTTATTAATCAATAACGGTAAATTAAAAAGAAAAATTTTAGCCACCTGCATTCTTCGCGGTTATGAACTGAACTCTTCCGTCTGATTATTCTGTAATTATTAATTGACGACAAAGTGAACAATAAAATAACATAATCAAAACTTAGCCACATTCGCCGTGGTGACTATCTATTCAAAATTCTGTGGAAAAAATAACTGATCTTACCTTAAAGCAAAGGGAAAGGCTGGCCCTAGGCCGTCCATGACCATGAGTCTAGTTAAGTTGGCAAAAAAAAGGAGATAGTTATTTCGAGTCGGTTTAAAATTGCGCGTATCACATTTTAGGTATTGATATTTTACAAAGTAATCAGAACCGCTCGACCGAATAAATTCTTTATTAATATGAGATCGAAATGATAAGATTTGATTTTTTAATTTCTTTTTTTTTAAAAAAAAGAGCTTTAGAATAGACCTTAAAAGCATTTAATGATCAATTAAATGATTTATATGCAATTATTGAAATTAGAATTTATTTTTTTAAAGTTCAATATCCTAAAGTATAAACTTCGGGATGCGGTTTATTTTTATTTCAATAATCACTTTTAATCATTTCTCTGTCGTTCAATTTCAACTTATGTAATTAATTCGGGTTTAAATTCTAACTCTCAATAACTTTAATGATTTAATAAATGTCTGGCAAGTTTAGTAAAATTTTCCCATCATGATACGCAATAAAACGGAAACTTTCTTGATCCTGATCAATTATAATAAAATTATCCGAAGATATTGTACGTTTGCGTATTGCATAACTAAGTTATAATCGGTTGTTTCTAGGTCTTGAGAAATGTCTTTGCTTAAATTTATTATAGTATAACATGATTCAAGCTGGAAGATGAGAAAGAAAGG